ATGATGATGATGTATGTTTGGGGCTGCATTGCAATATTGATTGTTCGGATCATTGGTATCTAAGTCTTCCGCTGTGCTATCTTATACTTTGTATTGAAAGGTCGGTTCTTGTTCTGGTCTGCACCTATACGGTATGCAACACCTATGCTGATAGACGGTCCTATAGCCTATAGCCGGGTAAGGTAGGGGCCAAGAGGCCAAAACTGAATCGGTACCGGTCAGTCAGTCAGTCCGGTATAGGTCGAGTCTAGGCTAGTTGTAGTCTATAGATAGAATGGGCACATCGGTTCAGGGCGTTTGGCAGCTGGTACCGAGTACATCGCTGCTGAGATAAGCGTGAACCGGAAGTGGTGACGGCTCAGCGTGGAAGGAGACAGACATAGCCAGACGTTCGGAGCGCCGGCCACAGCTGGGACCTGTGCTGTACTCTGCCAGCACGCAGGGGCTGACAGAGGTCTGGGCTATCGAGGTCTGCTGGAGGCGAGAGAAGTTGGTGCCATGCTGGACCCTCCTCCGGAGTGGGGTTCCATGGGTGTGGCGCTGCAGCCATAGCTGCAGCTTCTTCCTCAGAGGTCATCTAGTCAGGGTTTGGTGGCGCTGCTGCAGACTTCCATCCGGGAAGTCTTCCGACACTTCGTCATCATCAGATACTGTGGCGCTGGTCTTCTTCTTCATCCTCTGAGTGGCGCTTGGCCTCAGAGGCCTGTTTCAGGGTGGCGCTTCGCTTTGGAGGCTGTATCAGGGTGGCGCTTGATGTTTCAGGGGCTCAGGGGTGTTACGAGTGGCTAATCAGGGTTGGGGAGTGAAGCGATGCTCATTTCTGAGCAGCGCACTGTAGTTCTGAGGTTATCTTGACAATTCGAGACTCTGAGTTTAATAAACAGTGTGTAACTGGGTTTGAAGTTTGAACTATCATCATTTCATTGTTTCCTGGATGTGATCTGCTCGGCTTTCCTTTACGACTGGTTGTGAGGATTGAGTGGAGTGAATTGCACTTTCAATGTACCCTGTCATATCGCATGGTCAAGTCTTCCGCTGTGTTTATCTCTCCCTGTGCGGTGTGATACTCCTATCCTCTCCCCCTTCCTTCTGTGTATGTATGGGCATACCTGAAAGTCTATGTAAGTGAGTGTTGGTCTTCAGACAACAAACAACCAGAATCATGACACATGGCTATTTGAACTAATTCGTAATTTTGCAAATTTGGATTTCTGTCTATCGCTCTCGCTCATATTCCTTGCACAAGTATCAGCCTAGTGGCTGTAAGCAAGCAATGAACTCGTTCAAAAGAAGCTTAACCACATTGAAAACGAACCGCCATTCATATCTTGCACAAAATCAGTCATCAAGTGTGTCTCTAGGCTGGGCGCTGAGCGCTGTTCTGAATGAGCGACATTGGATGCTACGTTGGTGTGGCCAGAGAGTGTCAACATTGACATTTGGGTTAATTGAATTGCTCTTATTCAGATGGTATCTTGGTGCATTGTGCTCTCTGCTTGGTATCTGGACTACTTCGTGATTTTGCAAGTTTGGATTTCTGTCTATCGCTCTCCCTCATAATCCTTGCACAAGTATCAGCCTAGTGGCTGTACGCAAGCAATGAAGTCGTTCAACAGAAGCTTAACCACATTGAAAACGAACCGCCATTCATATCTTGCACAAAACCAATCATCAAGTGTGTCTCTAGCCCTCTTTCATATCTCCCCCCCCCCGGCCCCTCACACCCTGCCTCCTGTTCCTCCATTATGGTGTACCCTCCCCTTGACATGCCAGCTATGGCTACCTGCTAAGTGCTATCTGGTGGCAGCAGGGCAGCATGACGCACTACTCCTGACTGCAAGGCACAATTTGGGGCGATTGGATTGACAGAAAAGAGACATTTCTTTGACTGGGGCGCTGGGCCCCCGCGGCTGGCTGGGTGGTCACCGCACCCATAGGCCCCGGACTCAGCTGGAAACTTTGTATGTACCATCGATGTGTGTGCGTTCCTCGGACAAAACAAATTCTGGTTGGCAAATTATCGACTCTGGTTCGAACTGGGCCTGGCTGTCCATGTTCCCAGGCCTGGGTTACTTGAATCCAGGGCCTGGGTGGCCCAGTGAGCTGGTCGGTTCTCTCTTCCTTTTCTTTGTTTTTTGAAGATATCATCATCGAACTGACCAGCCCCGGATAATTCAAGAGTTATTGACTTGACGGATTCCATCAGGTTCGAACTCAGGTCTGTTTATCAACAGTTGATGGGTGTACGATTCAGCCACTCGGACCGGGAAAGCCTAGCCTATCCATTATCAGCCCTACCGGACTGAGAACATTTCTCAGCCCCTTCCCTAGTAGGCCTCTATGGACTTGGACTGACGCTACGACCCCGAGACTGACTCGAAGGCCTGTTGATTTGACCCTGTTTGCCAGCACACAGATGCAACTGTTGCTAAGAGATCACGAGTTCAAAACCTGGAGGATGCAATAATGTTAGGGGCTGGTCCCTGTTTAATAAAGAAAAGACAGAAAAGAACACAGACCAACAAAAGACAAGCAAAGAAACAAACCAATGCCGCATCCCAACGAACAAAGCCCAAAAAGATGCACACATCCTAGCTTCACTCCTCTCTCATAGCCCATACATGCCATGCAACGCAGAGTCACACACTTAGGGCCCAGCCCCACTGGTGCTATGTTCAAGGTAACAAGCACGAACATGACCATCATTACGGCCAGCGTCATGCTTTGCAAGCATGAACATAGCACCGGTGGGGTCTGACCCTTTGCTTCAGTTTCTCGTAAAGCCCATGCATGCAAGGCAGAGTAACACACTCAGTTTCTCAAAGCTGACGACTCATAGCACACACTTACGCAGAGCCCGACACTTAGTTCCTCTAAGCTGATGGATGACTTAAAATAACCAAGGGGCATGGCAATCTGCACACACACGCATAAGCTGACGACTCAGAAACAACTGCGCTTGTTTTGTCGCCAACATCACTCAAAAAAGCACAAGACTGTGACTACCTTCTTCCCACGAACATAATGCCCCATCGACATGAACGTATGTATACAAAACCTGTTCGAGTCCAAAAAACGCCGTGATGATGGGGCATTATGTTCAGGAGAAGTAGGTGTTAGCTTTGAGGAACACAGGTACTGACCGGCTTCTTGGGCTTTATGATCCCCCCCTTCGCTTGCGCAATCAACTCAATGGTTTCGCCAAGAACGTCCGTGTGCTCATAGCCAATAGCAGATACCACGGCACAAGAAAGAGAATCTTCTGGAATCACATTTGTGGCATCCCGAGCACCGCCGAGACCAGTCTGCCACCAAACAACCGACAAATGGTTTGATACTCAAACTTCATTGCTCGTTCGTGTGAACGGCAAAAGTTTCTCCTCCTTTTCCTTTGTTCTTTTTCTCTCAAAAACGACATTCCACATTTTTGAAAGTCAGTAAAGGCAGCTGCAGTTCATGTGGTATCATTTTATTAGAGGCCAAGAGACCTGCATGGAAAAGAAAAGCTGGCTCCGGAAATCCTGTTTGGCAGAAGAGAACAGACTAAGCACAGCACATAATTTTCAGAGACAGGGTGCGGCGGAAATCCTGTTGGCAAGACGAGAACAGACCATGCAAAAATCTTGTTCACAGTCTGCTTACAGTAGTCATAGTTTACATCACAAGCAAGACGGTTGGCAAGACAGTTAACAAGATTGATTACAAGAAATCTAACAAGATGGTTTTGTCATTCGTTGCCGAATAACTATCATGTTAGCCACGTTGAAATCAATATTGTTGACTCCGTCTTGCTAACCATGACACTCGTGTAGTAAAAAACTATTGCCTATAGTGGTTAACCAGACACCACCAGCATGATTCTAAACCACTAACGGCATCGTTCACAAGACCGTCAGCAAACTAGCCCTACTGTTGACAGCCCATGTTTTGTTAGTGACAAAGGCGTAAACTGTTGTCTTGCTGATCGACAGAGCTAACAACAATGATCCCATGATGGACCAAGTTAGACAGCTGATGTTACATCTTCGACGCCACATGGGTCCTACCGGACCCGACTTAGGACCAGAGGGACACAGTAGGGCCTAAAGGCCCGGACTTAGGGTTCAGCAGGCCGAAAGGCCACGTTTTTGGGACCAGACCTACGGACCAGGCCCAAACGACATTTTGTTTTGGGCCTGGCGGCGCCTTTGAGGCTGCCGCTCTCCGGTTGGACCTGAACCGTCGATCTGGACGGTTCAGCCCCAACCAAGGCCTCGCAGCATTGAGGCCGGTCTTCTTCGAACCAGTACTTAGTACTGGTCCGGCCCCACTTCGAGGCCATCGACCCACCGGTATTCTACGCGGTGCGGTAAGGTCGGCGCCAGAGCGCTGTTTGAGCGCTATTCCTAACGCAGGAGCGAAGGGCAGCAGCAGCGCGAGCTAGCGCAGCGGCAGCAGCGAGCGAGGACAGCAGCAGCAGCACGGCGGCCATCGCCGCCTCAGCAGCAGCAGCTGCAGGTACCAGGAGGCGAGGATCTCTTCCTCCCTCCACGGTCCCTCCCCCTCCTCCTCACCTCCGTCTTCTCTCTCTCTCTCTCTCTCTCTCTCTCTCTCTCTCTCTCTCTCTCTCTCTCTCTCTCTCTCGTTCTCTTCTTCTTCTTCTTCTTCTTCAGGCTGGAGACTTATACTAGTTGGACAGAGATCAGAGTTGGACTTCGGTGGTAAGAGGCTGTGGTACTTACCGGATTCGAGACTTGGAGATTGTTGGGGATGATACTCGGCTGCATCACAGATTTGACACCGGTTACATTAGGACTCTGTATCTCCGACATTGGTGACTTATTGTCCTCGACATTTTGATCTTGTTCGATGACATTTTGGGTTACTATATCGGTGACCTACTGGTTTCTATCTCGGTGACATTTGGTGCTACCTACATCTCCCCTCCTCCTTCGTCTCTCCTCCCACCTCTCATCTGTATATGTGTGTACGAGGTCTGGGCATCGTCTATGCTTGGCCCAGACCCCACCATCTCACGATTGTATGTGTGTGGAGTGATATCTATGTGAGTCAGTCTATGTGAGTCAGTCCGTTTATCAGACTTCCGCTGCATATATGCTCATCCTACATTGGTTGATCTTTGGCTCTGCCCATACTCATTGAAGTATGTAACAGCTGATCTCCCCACCCAGGCGGGCGGGTGGTCCACTAGGGTAAACTTTGTTCGTTCATGTTTTCTCCCCGACAGCATTCTCATCTTCTGCTGTCTTTCACTCCAGAGGTCCACGCCGTCAAAATTTCAAATTCAAGTTCCGACCTATGAAAGTGTGTGCAATTTCTCAGCACAGCCTGAGATTGAAGCTCAGGCCAGAAATGGCGGAGTGCTTACTGACTTCTTGGCAATCAACGCCATCCGGTATGTTTATGCTTGTTGGATTTCTACACTCCCCCACAAGGATGGAAAGGGACAAACGTTCAGAAGATATTGGGGGCAGGGGATGGGGGGTGGCTGCACTTCTTTTTCTGGGCCATTGCCAGCAAGGAAAGGGAGAAAACTTAGAAAAGCAAGGGGACTGGTAGCGTGGTAGGTATAGTCTGAAGAAGGTTCTCCCGCTCCATTTGTGCGTACCTCAACCACAGCAACGTCAACCCTTGTGCGAGCAAAATGTACGTACGCAAGAGCAGTAACAACCTGCGTGCAGAAATTAGAGTGAGCAAAACCTGGAATAGATATGCAGAACCACAACGCAAAAAATCACCACTGAAGGAAAAATGGAAGTGCAGCACGCAGAGAATAACACAAGGTGCAGGGATGAGGCAGTGCTGGAGAAGAGGAAGACGGTGGAAGAGGACATTGATGACAATGGCAGAGCACAAGTGGTTAACAGGGAGGGGACCCCCACTTTTCAACCCCATGTTAACACCCCCAACACTGAAAAGTGCATTTGGGGATTTCCTGTTTTTTTTTTTTTGCCCTGTGTTATTTTTGGTCAATGTCTGCGTGTGCCAAGTTTGGTGTTTGTTGGGGTCTTTGACAGGACTGTTTTGGGCAGCCCTGAAAATCCTGAAAATCCTGAAAAGCTGAAAAGAGCGAATTTTGCATGAAAACACACTTTTGCCTTGGGGTTCTAGGCCCCTTCAATCCATTTTTTCACTTTTTTTTTTTGCTGTTGGTTTATTTGGTGTCCACTCTATGGACTGTTGACAAGTCTGGCTCAAAGGTGTGGGACGTTTTTTTAAATGACCCTGCCAGAGAAGGAGAAGGCGGCAAAGAAGAAGAAGGAGAAGGCAGCAAAGGAGAAGACGGAGAAGAAGGAGAAGAAGGAGGAGGAGGAGAATAAGAAGGAGAAGAAGGAGGCGGCAAAGAAGAAGAAGAAGAAGAAGAAGAAGAAGAAGAAGAAGAAGAAGAAGAAGAAGAAGAAGAAGAAGAAGAAGAAGAAGAAGAAGAAGAAGGAGCAAGCAGAAGCAGCAGAAGCAGCAGCAGCAGCGAAGAAGAAGAAAAAGAAGAAGAAGAAGAAGAAGAAGAAGAAGAAGAAGAAGAAGAAGAAGAAGAAGAAGCAGAAGCAGCAGCAGCAGCAGCAGCGAAGAAGAAGAAGAAGAAGAAGAAGAAGAAGAAGAAGAAGAAGAAGAAGAAGAAGAAGCAGCAGCAGAAGCAGCAGCAGAAGACGAAGAAGAAGGAGAAGGAGGAGGAGAAGAAGAAGAAGAAGAAGAAGAAGAAGAAGAAGAAGAAGAAGAAGAAGAAGAAGAAGAAGAAGAAGAAGAAGAAGGAGGAGGAGGAGGAGGAGGAGGAGGAGGAGGTAAGTAAGTATGTTGAGTTGAATAAAGATAGTGAGGTCAATCTCTCAGCATCCATCCATCAGTACAATATGCGAGGACCAAGCCCTCATGGGGCCCTTATCAGAGATGCACATGTTCTGGGCGGTGGCCCATACCAAGCCCTGTGCCCGCCCTAAGTGAAGGCGGGCCTGAATATTCACAAGAGGCCTAAGTTTGACAATTTTCCATATGTGGGTACTCAGACAGTTGCAGCACGCCAGTTGGTTACAGGGAAACGTGAGCCTCCAGGTTCTTTCCAGAAACAAGGGCTGCGGTGCACAGTTGTTGCATACCGTATAGGTGCAGACCAGAACAAGAACCGACCTTTCAATACAAAGTATAAGATAGCACAGCGGAAGACTTAGATACCAATGATCCGAACAATCAATATTGAAATGCAGCCCCAAACATACATCATCATCATCATTCCATGGTGTGAAGGGGWCTGGCGCTTCACACAGGAAGACTGCGCCAGCCCCAACCATACACAGACGAAGGAGATGGGGGTTAGACGAAGAAGAGGGGAAGATGGGAATGTCGTCAACACCAAGTGTTCAGCACAGGCCCAAATAGTCCCTYGTCGAAATGTCTGAATCCCAAAGGTCRAGTCTGGATCCAATGTCGTCAAGTCTCAAGTCACAACTCTCTCTCTCTCTGTAGTAGTCTGCTGATACTGAGAAGTCAGGTGGTGAGAGGGGAAGAAGAGATGGTGGACATAGAAGAGGAAGAGGAAGAACTCTCTCTCTCTCTCTCTCTGTGTCCAGTACTAACCTGTGAAGTTGGCGCCTTGATGCAGGTACCTCGAAGATGGAGCTGGAGCTATGGCGCCACAGGTAAGTACCGCTAGCCTCCGCCAGCCATCTCCCTCCACTGCAACTACTCCACCTACTAGCGCCCAGCGCTGAAGACTACAGCTATGGCTATGGGCGCCCAGCGCCGAAGACT